TGTGCCCCCCGGATCGGGGTGGGGTGGGGTGGGGCACGCTGTAGCCAGGGATTTACAGGGCTCTTCTCACCTGGGGCTGGGCTTGGAACGGGTGCCGGCGGTACTGGGAAGATGCTGCATCCGCCCCAAATTTTCTGCTGCTCTGCTCTCAGAGCCACCTGGCACAGCCCTAACTCAGCACCCTGCTTCCACCCATGTGCTGGGAAGAGCCAGGGCTGTGCCGGATGGCTGGTAGCAGCGGCACTGGCAGTGGAGCAGTGGCAAAATTTGGGGTGGAGGCAGCATCCTCCCCCCCTGCCTACGAGCTGCGGCTCTGGCCCCCTGCCCCGCCTGCGCAGCACCTGCCTTTTCCCCCTCCTTCACTGCGGGGGATGTTGATCTGCTCCCCTCATGCCCCTTCCCTCCCCTCCCTGACCAGCTGGAGGCAGCTGTATCGGAAAGCAGATCGGTATCAGCCGATACATCTTCTTAAATATCAGTTATTGGTATTGACCCCAAATATCTATTGGTGCACCTGTATTTAAAACCACTGCTTTAGGGATGTTTAAAAGTCCCTGGAGGCTCCCATGATGTGGTGCAATCCAAAAACAGGTGCAGCTGTGCTACTGCACTGCCCTGGATCTGCCCCTGAGTATGATATACAAAATTTACAAGCTTTTTTAGTTTTGCCTTGGTCAGGTTATTTTCACTTAGTTATAGCTTAAAAAATCTTATATCATTTTACAAAGGAGGTCTAATATTTATATGCACATAGTATTTTAGAAATGAATAATCTTCTAATTCTTCTAAACCAATGAGAACTGTACGCCACTTAATCACCAGAAAACCACACATTAGAAAGAAAAGCTTTATCCAAGTAAAGCTGAATATAGAAACACCACTGTAGAACTTTTCATAGTAATTTTTTAAGCACAGTCACTTCTGTGAACTAATTTTACTATCTTATGCAAAAATACCAAGAAATCATTTTTGGATTAATTATGGTTGTGTGGTGTACTGTATTTTTCTTTTTTTACCAAGGTAACGGCCAAAATTCCAGGTACATCATCTTCCCGACCTTTAGCTACTGGATTTGGGGTAAATTTTTGTTCTTTGTTTTATGCTTAGAAAGAGATATTCCCCAACCTGCACACCCTGTAAATCCTTCATGCAGTATGATTTCTTTCTCATGTAAGGGGAGGAAAAGAAGGAAAAAAATGAAGAATTGCTTTATAACATCTCTTAGGTTGTTGGAGAGGTTGCAGTATGGCTGTAGTAACTCAGTCTTACTTTTTATTATCAATAACACAGAATTGTACAAGTATACAGCAGTATAACAAATGTAAATAAGGGTATGTGATGTCTTCCCTGCTCCCCAAAATTTAAGAACGACTGTCCTAGAGCTTATAATACTGGAACGTTCATTATGTGGAAGATATCCATTAGTCATTGCAAATGGATATCTATTGTTATAAGATAAAAACTGTCAGAAATATATAATTTCTAGTGGAATTTTATGTGTACCCTGCAATATGAATTGGGTTTAGGTACAGGGCATGTAATTTCATTTATATTGAAGGAGGGATTGGCAAAATATGACCTGCAGTCTGACCCACAAATAAATTGTATCTGGCCTACTAAGCATGGGAGTCTGTATATCTTACCATTAGTAGGTTTTGTGCAAGGATGTGCTACTGTTCTCTAGTGGTGGAATATCTAATAGTTGCTAGCAACACTTGGCCTGCCATAAAACCAAGCTGAATAAGCTCAGCTTGCACTGAGTAAAAGGTTGCCAACCCCTGTTGTAAAGAATATCTAAATGTGATCTTACCTCTAATAAAATATATTCCTACTTATTGCATCAGATCTACTCAGGATCTACCTCTTAAACTTTTTGTTTGTACAGACGGACAACATTTTTTCTCAAATATATACTCAGTCAGCAATGAGAAGTACTAGTGCTATGGCTTAAACCCTCTTAAATTTATGAACAGAAACTAAACAAAAATACAGAGAAAATTCAAATGGCATAAAATAAATAATGTAAAACTTCACAATTAGTCTTTTACATTTAGGAAACAAAATAAAAATGATGCCCCATTTTAGAACTTGTGTTAACTGTGGGGTTACTGCCTAGTGCAAGTAGTGCACACAATGTGAGCTTTTCTTGCCTCGTCGAAGTTAATGGAAATTTTGCAGCTGATTTCACTAGGAGCAAGGGTGGATGCTAATGTACATTCATGAAACAGAAACAACAATATATTGAAGTATTTATAGTTTCCTAATGTCTTGTAATTGCTAATTTTAAATAAGTTTATTTTATATTGGTAGTCAAAGACAATGTTATCGTCAATGGGAAGACCTATGACAGGAGCTATACAGGTAATGGTTTATTATTTATTTATTGTCTTAATTCAGATTCTGAATGATTGTTTTTGTTATAGATGTTTAATCTCTCTTTATTTTTAAAGACATTAATTACAGTGGAAATATGGGCTGCAAATACTGTATTTAAACTGTCTTAAATCATATATACACTTAATATTGACATCTGGGCCAGGAATGGAAATGTATTAACAGGCACTCAACAGTGGCAGACTTTGTTAAATTGGGGGAATAATGGGCTAGTGAATAGCGTTCCCTCTAAGCTGTATGTTGTGTGCAGCCACACAGGCATGTCTGGCTGCGTGACCGCACACGCCACACAGCTTAGAGGGAACACTGCTAGTGAATTATAGCCCATTGCCAGCTGTTTTGTACCTCTCTGAGATAGCATTGAGCAAAAGAATCTGATCCATAAACACATAGTTTTTAATCCTTGTTGCCCATGAAAACCATACAGATTCAGAAACTGAACTCTGACACCAAGTATAGTAGTAATTTGAAACATGGTCTGGAGCTACTAGACTTAACAGGCTAGCCCTTGAGATTGCCCTTCTAAAATCATAGAAATAAAAATGTACAGATTACAATTAGAAACACCAAAAAACACTAATGATTACTCATGTCTGTGGAAAAAGATTATTTGGAGCAAGAGGTCTTTGAATATTTCTAAAATTCTAACAGACAGCCTAATACGATATTTCTTTTGTATCATTTATTAATTAGAAATAATTCCAGTATGTATTTGGCTATGTTATAGTCTGGTAATATAATGGTTGGAGAGGACCTGAGTCGATCAGGCTGACCAATATATACTTGGTCAGCCTGCATCAACTTTAAAGTGTACATTTCACTTCAAAATTTTGCAATATGTAAATTATCCCCTTATTTATTTCCCCCATCCTTTGCTTTAGAAATGTTCTGCCAATCATAAAAACAGTCTCTTTTTTTTGTTTAAGGATGGAGTTGCCCGACCTATGACAGCAGTTCATGCAGCTGGTTATACTAAAGGAGCAATGCGAGGTAGACTTCATAGAAATCACTAGCTATCATAAGCCATTTTTGCACAGTTTTTAGTACTGTGTATTAATTTTGCAGGTTCTGCATTTGATCCCCTTGGTCAAGGAAGAGGTCCTGCTCCCCCTTTAGAAATGAAAAATGAAGACAGGTAAGCTGGTCACATTTTCATTAGGTTCACTTTTGGAATAAATGCCTTGAAAGCTCATAAAAGAAGCCTATGCGCCATATTTTCTCTCTACAGGAAAAGGCCATGATTCCACAAATACTAAATCATGTGCCAAATTTACTGGCAATCAGTGGGGCTACTCTTGCAAGTGCATTGATTTCAATAGGACTATTTAGAGTAGTAAAATCAAGAACACGGATAGATTTTTTTTCAGGATTGAGGCTAGAGTGTGATTCTTACTGAAGTCATGGTTGTTATTTATATCTAGCAGGATGAGCTTTGGGCAACTAATGATTTAAAATAAGGTAAAACAATCTACTTTGCTATATCACTAGCACTTTTCCATTCCTCCCATTGCATTGCAATATCTTGCACTATGTTTGTGACCCAACAGTTTGAATGAACATGTGGATTTATATCAAACAACTGAGGTACAGAAAAGGATTTGATTTGCTGGAGGGCTGTGGAAATCCCCTGCCTGGCAAGGGATTACTATAGCAGTAATTCTGTGGTACATATGCTAGGAAAATCACAGAATCTTGTCTTTCACAGAATTGCATGACCCCAAACTGAGATTAAAAGTTACTAGCCCATTTTTTATGTTTGAGAGTGATGGAAGCCTGACATGGAGACGATTAGGGAAGAGAGATAAAAGGCTGGCCCCTGGAATTTCTAAATGACAGAGATAAGAAAATTTGCTGAAAGCAGAGGACAAAAGGAAATATGTAGATCACTTGTTTTGCAGGCGAAATAATCCTACATGAATCTCAGCTTCTGATTTTAAAATCAGTGATTCTAATTTAAAATTGTACTGATGCTTTATTTAAAGAGTTATCATTACAAACTAAATTTATACTTCAGATTAAGTCAACTTTTTAATGTAATACTTATATACTGCGAGGTTTAATAGAGTGCTAGGAAGTTTCACCCCGCTCATATATTCATACTTTCATTATTCCTACTATGTTTTTGGCTCTTTATATAAGTCCCTCTTATTCTAATAGGAGGATCAATGCTTAGTAAACCCCTGTTCTTTCATTAAGCTAATAATTTAAGCACAGTATATCTGCAGAATCTTCTCTTTCTTCACCAGCTCTTATTATTGATAGAATCTCTGATAAAAACAGCAATAAAGGGCCACTTATAGTTGTCTTTGTACTCGCGGACCACTGTGAACCTTGATACATTACTCAACACCTAAGGCAACTATGATGGATCATTTTTAATAATCTGCCTACTAAAAGCTTGTTTGTTGTATAATTAGTTGTGGTTGCATATGTTAACTGATCCTTTATTTCCTTAATTTTAGCCCAGAAGAAAAGATGAAACAGTTAGAAAAAAAAGTAAATGAGTTGGTTGAAGAAAGCTGCATTGCCAATAGCTGTGGAGACTTGAAATTGGTAAGATTATCAAGGTTTCATTGAGCTTGTAAGAAGCAACACAACATGCATGCATCAATAAACTGTGAATTCCAGAGTCTACTGTTAAAGCTGTCTTTTTTAATTTTGTTATTGTTCTGGCTGATCTTGCATTCCAGCGGGGGTTTACAGTACCACAAAGAGGACACAGGCATGATTAATTAGTCTGTCTGTCTGTCTGCCCACCCACACTTCCCCTTCTCCCCTGTGTAAATTCAGCAGTATTTGAGGTATCTGAAGATAAGGCCTACATCTCAGCTGACTTTGTAGGAGCCTATACTTGGGTGTTGCAGTACTGTATCTAAAATAGGTTCTTTGCCTCAGAAGTATGATTTAGATGGACATAGTGAGATACCTAGGTGCTGAGTAGGCAGTGGCCTATAGCAAGCCAAAAAGAAATGCTAAGCACCCAGGTATGGCTGAATGCCTTTTGCTTGCCAGAATGTAGCTGCCTGTCTCAGGTGGTAGTTAGATTCCTTTATTCATTTTTAATATAAGGTGTCTAGAGAGAAGCCTTGTAGTAGACCAGTTGTTATAGTAGTGCCCACCCCTTGCATGATAATGTAACGGATAGAATGCACTCAGAAACTGGGAGATCTGAGCTCTTGTCCCTCCTCCGTGGCAAATCCACAGCATATACTTTCCATAAGGGTGCCTTAACCACCAGCTGATAGAGCAGTCTGGTGGGGCACCATTAATGCGCTTTACATTAGGCAGTCATTGGTTAAAAAAATAAATAATTTTAATAGGGACCCAAATTTCTCCTCTCCCAGGGAAGTGCCCTCATCACTAGGCTACACAGTGAGGCTCTTCTAGCTCAGGACTCTTGCGTTCTTGACTGCATAGTGGCCTGGTTTTAAAATGAGGGGATAGAAGTTGCCTCCACTTAGGCAACTCCAGAAGTTGTCAACCAGGGGTACGCATACTCCCAGGGGTACTTGAGAAGGCCCTAGGGGGGGTATGTGTGGGTGGGCAGGGATGGAGCACTGCCATGCAGCATCCCACACTGCCGCACAGGTGCCTCCCACCTGGCCAGATGCAGGGGGCAGGGGAAGCTTGCACTTGGAGGCTGCCTACTCTCTGTTCGACTGTACCCCCCCTGCTCCACGTCTAGCCGTGGAGTACATTGCTCCGTGTCTGGCTGCCAGGGGTACACTGCTCCAAAAAGGTTGAAAACCCCTGGGCTCTACTATAGCCAGGGGGTTTGGGCACTTATCTAGTTCTCCACTGCCTTGGTGAGTGCTCTGACCACTGTGCTGCGGAAATTCTGCAGAAATTGGGCAAGTAGTTATTCAGATTGGATCACTTCTGAGTCAGCATAAATGTCTACGTTTAAAGGTATAAAGATCTATTCAAACTATATTGAAGGTACCTGATAAATTTAAGCATTTGGGCAATTTTAGGTAGCATGTCAATTTGGTTCCCTTCTTGCAACACAGGCACTTGCATTCCACCAAAGTCTAATTTACAGGTCCAGCAGAATTGTGTGATCTGGCCAGAATACTTAACTTTATGCAATGGTAATCTTCTTTTGGTGCTGTCTAATAAGTTAATAAAATAGATGGGTTTGCTTTTTATTTTTATTTGCTTATAACATTACTGTTCACACTCTTCTGAGATAAAATGTTTATGGTAAGATGACAATGAACATTGTTCTGCTGAATGTTTATATTTAATATTATTTTAACATAAACCTCCTCTTTTATGTAATATTGCTACTTCTTGAATGTGTGCTCTGTTTGTATAATGGAACTAGGTACAAAAATTATTTATTTCTCATAGTGAAGTGAAGTTGGAAAGGGAAGACAAATGGCAATTCTAAAAATATCTGATCTGTTTTAAGGCCCTGGAGAAGGCAAAAGAAGCTGGAAGAAAGGAAAGAGTGCTGGTTAGACAACGTGAACAAATTGCGTCTGCAGAAAACATCAACTTAGACCTCACTTATTCGGCAAGTATTGAAATGTGTATGTGACTTTTTGAGGAAGTTCAGCCTGCTGTGGTGCACACATTTTATTTGAGTTCCTAAAACAATTTTCCATATCAGATATACTGAACTTTAAAAATATTTTTTGAAAATTGTTATTGTAATTGTAGAAAATGGCAGTTCCATAGTACTGATTTGCTGCTAATACTACTAAATATTCATTATAATTTTTTAAATAAAGGGTTTGTCTTCTGGACTTTAAGTTACTAGTATACTTTGCAACAAAGATATCTCAGGTACCCAGCGTGTAGAATCTAGGGGTGCCTATACACAAGTAGCGAGGCTGCTCTGATGCACTGTAATTACAGCGCTTTGGAGCAGACTCGAAAATAGTAGTTCCCAAAAATCTTCCTTTAGAAAAAGATAGAATACAAATAGTAGGGTTCTCTTCCCCACAAATAAAATAATATCTTTTCATGGCAACTTTACCTTGTAATTACCTCATACAGGCCTCTGAGTAGGTGGTTATCATGATAGAAGTATACAATTATGAGAGCATAGGTAGACCAGGTGCTTCTGAAGAATGAAAGAACATCAGTTACATTTAAAGGTAGGAGAGTTAAAAATAATAAAAAATATTTTTCATAAAATAGGAGCATGAATATAGATACAGGTCACAGAGGATAAACAGTGGTACTGTGGCACGCACAAGCTCTTATCCTGTGGTAAATAAAATCCAACCTGCTGTACCTTGCCCTTCTTTCATGCATGTGTGAAAATAGCTACTATGGAATATTTCACCTGCCGTAAATCCTCACCCACATTTACTTTGTGTTAACTTATTTGTTTACTCATGCCTTTAAACTGTGGAATTAACTAAGACAGAAAGAGACAGAGAGGGCCCTCAAATTTAATTTCAGGTCTTCTGGCTTTATTCAGTTAGAAGCTGTCAAAATCTACTCTGAGGCCAGGGTGAAAGGGCATTTTTGGGGGGTCACTGTATAAGACGAAAGAGTTTCCTCTTTTTGGATCATCTGGGCTACTCTGAAAAGCATGAAATGAGGCAAGTCTTCCACAGCCTTTTCACAGGACCCCTGAGGACCAGGAAGTAGTTCAGTTGACATGTGGTGTGTGTTGTATGCATGTTGGCAGATAAGCACAGTGAGCAGGAACCATAGGGCTTCTACAGCTGGGCTGCTGCCAGGTTTTGTTATTTGCTGATAGGATTTGCTATATCTATTCTGGAAATAAACCAGGATTGTGATTCCAGGATCTGGGCCACATCTGCTAGCTTCTATAAGTAGATGTTGAGATGCACAGTACAGTTGAAGACTAATTTTAGTGTATCTAGCTGAGCCATAATGAAGGCTTTTGGAAGATGGAATGCACCCGTTCAGCACTATTCTGAGGGAATGGATGAGGCAAGGCATCAGTTGCACCAGCCAGGAGTGGAGGACTTGTATCTTGGGCAAGGAATGGGCAGCCACCCCCCTTCATTCTTCATTAGGGTGTGGATGGACCTCCTTATCATATGGGTAGTCTTCCAAACTGCAGGATGTGCAGTGCTGCCATGGCCCAAGATGACAGTACTGAAGTTAGAAGTGGGCCAATGGGACATGCAACATGGATATTTGTCTGGAGAGGTTTATGTCAGAAAAATGTGGCTGATTTCTTAGAAAAGAGCATTGCACTGGATCTAATCTATCTAATTTAAGCACAGAAAACTGTTAGTTAAAATGGAGGAAATGGGGATTATTGCTGTAACTAAACTGGATAAGGAGTTGATTACAAGGGAGATTGCAACAGGTTATGTTGAAAGAGGAGTTACCAAATATGAGAGAGTTGACTGTTGTGTTCTTAAAGAATCAGTCTTTGGATCCACCCTACTTAATATTTTCATTAGCAACCATGGTCAGTCAGTCAGTCAGCATGCATGTAAGAGCACTCTGTGCAAGAGCCAGACGTGTACCCGTCTGTAAAATTTGCATAAGACAAAGTTAGGAGGTATTTCCAGTACAGAGGATAGTTGATTTATCATACAGGGTACATAACCTTTTGGAGTACAGCAGTAGACATGGCCAAAGGTTTAATAATACAAAGTGCAAAGTTGCGTACTGAGGGACTAATGTCAAAAACATCTGTAATACAGTAGGAGCTAATAGTTTGAAATGAACAGAGGAAGAGCTGGACCTGGGTATATTTGTTAATTATAGGAAGACCATGAGCTGCTAATGCAGGATCCTTAAAAAAAACCCAAATGCTAGTGCAAGTCTATGGTGTATTTTGGCAGGCTATTTTTAGGTGAGATCAAGTATTAATATCACTGTACATGGCATCAGTAGGACTCAGGTTAGGATATTACATACACATCTAGTCACCATTGGTTAACTAAGATTAAGTTAAATTGGAACAGGTGCAGAGAAGAGCTAGAATGATTAGGGGAATGCAGAATTTGAGAGAAGACTAACAGAACTTGCCTTGTTTACCATAGTAAAATGAAGGTTGAGAGGAGTTGGAATGAAACCTATACAATGAAAGGTTGAAAGAACCAGGTGTACTGTTTAGAGAAAAGGAGGTTAAATGGCGAGAAGATGGCAATTTTCAAATATTTGAAAAGCTGCCACATAGAAGAGGGAGAACAACTGCTCCCCTTTACTACCCTGGCAAGATATGGGGCAATCAGGCAAAGAAGATTTAGATTAAATCTCAGGAAAAAATCCTACTGTGAAATCAATAGGACGATGGAACAATCTGCCTAGGAAAGTTATTCCTTCACTGGAGGTTTTCCAAAAGTTGGATAGACATTTGTCTGGAACGCTTTAGGACTACTACATCCTGCATTTATGCAAGAGGATAGGATTAAATGGGCATTTATAGACGTGCTTTGGGAGTTGGCAGGGGAGGGCGGTGTTTTGGTTTTAGCTGCTCTAATTAAACCACCCAGAGTGTTACGTGTATTGGTATCCCTGCGCTAAAAATGGCAGCCGGGGTGCTTTAACTCAAGCTTGTCAAATGAGCTTCTCCCATTTTTCAGCACAAGGATGCTGATACATGTGACACTGGAGTCTTCTCTGATGCACTGTAATTACAACATGTTGGAGCAGCCTTCCTGCACATGTATAGGTGCCCAGTGACTCTTCAAGTTCTTTCCAGTCCTGGTTCTATGATGTGATCATGGGAAGTGAGTATCAGGGAAAGAGAAGAGATATTCAAGTCAAAGGATAATCTTGACAAAAAGATCAGATGAGTACAAAATGGTCATAAACAAATTTAGACTGGGGATTAGAATAAGATTTCTAACCATTGGAGGAGTGAAGTTCTGGAATGGTTTTCTGAACAAAGTCGTGTGAGCAAAACTTAAATTGCTTCAAGATAGCAATGGGTAGGTTCTGAAAGGTACAGTATAGTAGTGCAGGGATGTTTCTGGAGACGATATCAGAGCAGTGGGTATGTGGCTTTGAGTATTTTTGTGCTCCCCTAGGGGAGTTGAATGGACACCTGTTCTCAGTATACGATACTCGCATTTGTGTCAGATAATCTCACGCTTTCAGGTTTCTGCTGGCTGCTTGTAGGGGCAGGAAGAAAGTTTCTTTCCCCCTTGATGGATTGCTTGACTGCTGAGATTTTGTATTCACTTTTTTTTTTCTCTGAAGCACTGGGTGTTAGCACTGGCTACAGCTTGAACAGTGGGGTCAATTTTTTTGGCAGGCATGCCACAAATTACCTCTGCATCCACACGAAGTGTCACTCTGATCTCCTTCTCCTCCTGCTGTCTTCTACTCTGTTGTCTACCCTCTGCCCTATCTGCCACTGTGGTGCCTCGTCCCCTTCCCTGTTTTCTGCTTGCCACCCACACATGCTGCTTATGCCACACCTGAGCTAGGAGATTGATTTGGGAGAACTGGATCTCTTAACGATACTGGGAAACCTCTTGGGTTCCCAGTTGGCAGGTCTTGCTTTTATGCTTAAGGCTGAACCAGTCACCAGATTTGGGGTCAGGAAGGAATTTTCTCACAGATCAGCTTGGTGAGGACATTTTTTTTCTTTAAATCTTTACCTTGCTCTAGTGTGGAACGTGATCTGCTTCTTAGGATACTCTGAGTACATTTTACCTGGCAGACTCCCTGCCTTGCAGTAGCTAAGGCATTAGTGTACTCTTTCTCTCCAGCTCTCATCTTGTGGCACATTGGGGTTTTTTAACAGGTGTTTTGTCACTGTGGTATGTAAAAGGGGCTGGAGTGGATATTCTTGTGAACTCTTTTCCTGAATTGGTTACCTGGGAACGTGAGGGACTGGACTCATCGGTTTGGAAAGTTCCCTCTAGCCCCGTATTCCTAATATATTTCCATATATTTACAGAATAAAACTGTTTGTCAGCTGTTTGTCTTATCTCTTCCCAGCATCTTATATACTGATAGATTTGGGATGTAAAATATTTACTAGTTTTCTCTTATTTTATTTCTTGATTATCTGAGGAAATTTCTTGATCAGTGGGTATATTTAAGCATCATTATTTTTGCTTTTTTTTTTTTTTTTTTTTTG